ATGACATCAGGCATATTTTGGTTATCATTTGATTTAAAGACCTGTCCAAATGTAACGCAAATGTTTCTGCTTTTTCAATATCGCTTTTTGCCCATGAGTTGTCGATTTTGCGTATAGGTGGTTGATAGACAATCGGTCTGTTGTTCTTTTTTATGGCTTTCCAAAGAGAATATTTTGTATCACATGGAGCGCTTAGGTTTTGAAGGTATAGCGACGTGCGATTATTGTTATACTTTAAAAGAAGGGCTTTAACGAGTTTACACAGTTTGTTTAAGCGAGTTTTATCCGCAGGGAATCTCGACTGTTGCCAATGTTTTCTCATCCTACGCTTTTCTTTAATCAGGTATCTAATGTTAAATGGATAATCTTGCTTAGCACTTTTAGAAATTGGTGGAGTTGATTCCCATGCAGACATTTGGACACAAGAGTTGAAATGCTCTACTGCTTCAGTTACGTCAGATTCAGTTTTTAACCTGACTTCGGTATTTAGACCAATTGAAATTAGTTGACGGTAACTATTCCAGTCAGTGTTTTTATTATGAAGAATACATTTTTCCATAATTTCACAGCAGTTATTGAGAGTGATTATTATTGGCGAGTGGTCAGATGACAAGTCGAAATTGGACTTACAGGTAGTTGTTTCGATACGTACCCCCTTTGATACCGCAAAATCAATTAAGTCAGGTATTTTTCTTCTATCCGTTGGCCAATATGTGGGTTCACCTGTTGAGATTGTGTGGAGGTTGAGTACATTTATTGCTTCGAAGAGTTGACGTCCTTTTGGAGATATTAGGCGGAAACCCCATTTTAAGTGTTTAGCATTAAAATCTCCGCCTACTAGGAACCTAGATCCACGCAGCTGAAAAAATGATATGTACATATCTTTCGTGATACTGTGGCGCGGTGGGCTGTAGAGTGATGAGAAAGTCATATCGCCTTCTTTAGTTTGTACTACAATGTTTGTTGCCTGGATTTCATTCTTGCAATATGGTTTTGCTTCATAATGTTTTATCGAGTTCCTTATGAGGACCGCAGAGCCACCATTTCCTTTACCACTGGGATGCATTGTGTGATAAAGTTCGTAGTTCGGAATTTTAAAGAAACTACGCGCCGTGAAATGGGTTTCTGATACTAGCATTATGTCGACCTGGTTTAATTTTAAAAATGCTTTTATTTCGATAGCATGTTTTGATAGACCATTAGCGTTCCATATGACTACTACTAAATCAAGAATTTTGTTTAGTCGTCAAGTTGATCAGTAAATTTGTCATTACTACGATTTGTTGCATCATTTGCTTCAACAGTGATGTCATCTCACGGAATTCTTCCACAAAATTATTTGGAATTGGTGAAAGCTTCTCCTCTGTTTCGCTACTGGTGTTTGACTTCACTATTTGTGCTATTTATAAATAGTAATAGTATACTACTACTATCAGTATATAGATATATAAATAGAAATACTATACATATTATATATGTATATAGTTAATTAATTTATTTTCAAGAACGACAATAAAAAATAAAATGACTTTCAATATATCCTGGACATATATGGTATTGAGGCTACTAATAAGTACTTATGTCTTAAATATATCTCATATTTCTAAAATAATACTCATCAAATATGAAAAGATAAAAAGAGTTTTTTAATTGTGAACGTTATTCTTTACTGTTTGCTTGCAATTATAGGATCCAAGATAGTTGATAACTACAACACTTATCTTATCAGCTCAAATCGGGTGATTTGAGCCGATAAGAATGACCGATCAAAAGATGACTCGGCTAACTTAGAACTTATTTAGAATTGCTAGAGGTACAAAATTTTAAACCTATGGTTCAGATCGAAAGTTTTCGTTTGATACAGTTTAATAAATGAGAGTGTTCCTGTTTGATTGAACAATATACCTCTTAGGTTATAGTATGTCATTACCACCCGTGAATGATGATTAAATCAGTACAATATGCTTAAAATTTAAGACTATATTAACATATAATATATTAATAAATTATTATTATGTCCAATATCCAATTCGTTTTTTATTGTTACTAAGCTTAGGTCGTTTATTCAGTTGTCTTAGTTTATTTGTTGTTGTTTATAAGGGGACTTCCAGGTCGTTACCAGCCGATCTTTATTCATACCTAGCTGTAAGTTCCGTAGTCTCAATATGGCTAGTGTTGCACAATCATTAAGTAAATGTTTAGTTTATTAATTTTATAAGTCTAGGGTTCTAAATTGTTGGCTATAATTTTTTATAGATAGTTGTATATATATCTACAATATACATATCTTAAATTTATATTTGAAATTAAGTTTGGATTTGGACGTAATCCACTTAATGAGTCTACGCTTGATGTAAAGATGGAATTTGATTTTAGTCGCCTATATACATATAGTGAGTTGAACAAATTAGGTTTATAAACTTTATAATAGAACGACTTATGCAAAAGCTATATGGTTAGTTATAAAGCTGTTAAAGCTATGTGGTTAGAAAAGTTAGTCATATGTCTGTTTGTCAATCATATGGATTATATCAAATTACAAGATTTTGTCATGATTAAAGAAGAGAACAGAGTAATAAAAATTGATTTCAGTACATAAAGAAGAGATATCATAATGTATGTGGCATCGGAAGTGTGCTCCATTGTCCTTTCTGCTAATCAAAAACATTTAAAAAGGAAAGACTAAGTTTCATTACTTATTATCAATTAATTTCTTCTGAGAGTATATCAAGATTAAATACTTAAGCTGTAATTCAATCACTTGGCTAGACAGATCCTTGTAGATTCTTTACTTTATTTTGTAATTTAAACTGCAAACAAAGAATATTTTATATTTAACTTAAAAATAATACCTTAATTAGTTTATCTGATGAGGGGAGTTTAGGGAAAAATAAGTTTTCCAATATTCGGAAGCCACAATGAAAAGGGTTTAATTTCCTTTTTAATCAAGCACAAAATGCACGAAATTGCAATTTTGGATTGTAATTGTTTTAAGAAAAGCATTTCCTGTTTGAGTAGCGAAATTTGTTGTCCTTTCGCGTTAATCATTAAGTGCGAAGTGATTATTTTGTGAAATAATTAGAGACTTTCTATTTTGCATAAACAAATTATGCAAAACTTCTTCACAGTAAAAGACGAGACTGCAGCAATTGCAAAATGCAGATTCTGGTAACAAGGATATTAAAAACATTTACATTATTCGAAGGAAATGAAGCTCCTGCTCTTTTCCTTTAATAAAATTTATATGCTAACAAGGACATAAATTCATAAAAATGTTGGAAATTAATTTGACTGAAATTGGACACCTTTGGTTGGACTGTCTGATATGGCTTTATTAGCATAGAACGAAAAAAATAGAGATTATTTTTTGGTGGGTAAACGTAAGTGCCTGAAGTGTAGTCGAGATGAGGTTACGCCTCTTATGAAATTGGAAACATTTTTCAATATAAATAATTATGCGGTAAGGTTAAATGGTGCAAACAGGGTGATAAATGCTGATTGCGTGATTTCATCCTGATTCAATTTCAGCAATTTAAACAATTGCAAAAATTGTTTTGATTGGATTTTTTTTCTGCTATTCAACAACTTCGTCCTTCGTCCTTTGGCTTGTTATCGCGCAGGGCGTTAACTTCAAGCAAATGTTACAAAAATAAGTTTCTATATATTTATGAGACTTTAAAGAGCGCATATACATATAATTATAGCAGTATGAGTGTTAATATATTATGCAAATTTTTATTCAATTATTTAATGTTTGTGTTTTTTTTTGTCTATAAAAACATTACATTACCTAAATATGTATTTGAAGATGCGTCAAATTTTCTAATTTTATGCTCGAAGTGTTCATCATCTGCCAATTATCCTTGTTCCCAATTGAAAATTACTAAGCTTCATTTACTCACCGTATCTTGAAAACTGTTGCAATAACTTAAAAACTCAATGAAGCTTAAAATCCGATTTGTCACCTTTTTTTTTGTTTGAAAGAAAAAAACACAAAACAAAAAACATATAGAAAAGGTGCCAATGATGACTAAAGACCAAAAAAGAATAGAAAAAAAAACCAATGATAGGTGAAGAGTGAGGCTAAGAAAATAAACAGGATAATAGCTTCAAGAATAACATAAACAATATCACAATTACTCTTAGTTTTATCGAAGGATGCAAAATTAATATTGTTGACATTGCTATTTTCGGCTTACTAAGACATCTTAGTCATATATTGCTATGTATATTATAACAATCCAAAAAAAGAAATCATTTAAAAGGAAGGTTTCAAACAGATCTTCTGAATTCATGTAATTAGTAAAGTAGCTCAACTTAAAAAACTAACATATAAAGACAGTAAAACAAAGATACGGAGTCTATATACATGATTCCATATATATAGTCTCCCCTTTTGAAATTTCCAGCCACCACCTGCAGGTAGTCACCCTGCTAAGCCTAGTAATCTTGTCTAAGATTGGACACTCAACCGTAGTGGTTGACGAGGTAGGCGACCGACGAGTTCTTCAATTGCACTATATATGCTAGTTTGGTGTGTAGTGGGATAAAGCTGTGGTGGATAAACTGAAATAAAAGTCAATGGTAGCTTCAATGGATTCAGTTAGGCAATCTACCGAACTATGATCTGCGGTAAAATGGTAAATTAGACTTGCGATAAAGTGATTATTTTGTGCCCGAAAAACAGCAGCGATTGTTAAATATACATCTGTGTATTTTATATCATCAAGGAATTAAAAAAAAAAACAATAATTTATGTATTTATATATTCACTTTCATTTTAATTTCTACGCAATTTTAAGACTATAAGAACTTTAGTAATGACAATGTGAAATGACAAATTTCTTGCCTAAATATTGAAAGAAAAATCTTCTTGGCTGCCAATTCGAAAAAATTTCCTAAGATTTAGATTTTTCTGATGCACCGATTTGACAACAGATTTCAGTAAGGTTAGGTTTTTCTAACAACTTATTTTACTATCCATATTAGGGGGATATCAGTTAGTTTACTGATAACTTTTTCTTCACGTTTTCTTTATTACTTCTCAAAACCACATGCCCTTTTTGCGTGTGCTTAAAGGCTATTGAACCTAAAAGTTCCTGTGAAACTTTATGAGCTGATTTTAAAGAAGAGGCCCATTCCTTTAAACCAATTTCATCAGAGTTCGTTAAAATAATTCTACCATCACGCGTACCGTCATTTATACGTATTTGAATACATTGCTCTCCTTTATAAACAATAAAATCTGAAGAAATATCCTCAACTTGATCCATAAAAATCAATTCAGGCTTATTGTTTCCACTCTCAGAATGCAATTCTAGACGATTCGGATATAATTTAGCATATTTCGTTTGCCATAACGATGCAAAAGATCCCACCAATTTCTTTATATAACCATGTAAAATGCAATCGGACTCCTTTTCGTCGACATCAAAATGCTGCTTTTGCTTAGCTCTTTTCTTCTGTTCAATTTTATCGGTTTCTATATTAACTGTTTCAAATACTATTTCGGATAGTTCCTGTTGCCACCTTTCAGATATTGTTAATGGGAAAAATTTATAAAGTTCTTGATCGCTTTCTGTTAGTTTAATTCCCTTTGTATCTTCTTCGTCGAAAGAGCCAATATCGAATGTAAGTTATATAGGGAGTATATACCAGCGCTATCACCAACAAAACTTTTTAGAATTATATTCAATAGAAAACATATATGCAGGACATACTGGATTGCATGCTACTAAGTAAAAATAGGTTTAGAATCATCACAGAAATTTTAACAGGGTACTGAGATGATTACACTATCATCTTACTTTGAACTTACTCAAATAGGAATTAAAGGCTTTGTGGTGATGAGAATGATAACTCAAATTTCATACCAGGAGTTTGTCAAGCAGTAAGCATGTCATTATTAAATGAAGATATAAAAATATGTTAAGTAAGTTTAGTACTACATTTTATGAAGAACTTGAATTATATTGCATCCATGAAGGAGGCACAATTGAACTTTAGGTCGCGGTGCAAAAAACTCCAACATAAAAAAAAATAATAACATTTCGCTATAATAATAACAAATAAGGTATATTACTTTTCAAGATTTCTTAGTTTAAATTTGTAAGCCACCCGCTATCTAGCGTAAGATATGTGTTTAAATGATTTTATGAAAAGAAATTCAACAGAGCTTTAACCCATACTTAAAAATTATACTTTGTTGATATAGCTATAGGAAAACACTGTTCAAAATATTCAATTTTATTGAATTCCGGTGATTGGAATAATTATAAAAGATTGTATCAGTATAGTCTTCCCTATTTGTCGTCTTCATTTTAAATAGATTAAATGAAATTACCTGATTTTAAGCCAATGAATGGTTGCAGACTTACACGCAACAAGTCGGTTCCATCTTTGGCAAATTCATCTGCAATTTCAGGCAAGAATAGTTAGCATAATAAGCCAATATATTTCAAGTCTGGTTTTCACTTAATAAGACTTTATTCCTGCCCAGCTATCAGTTAAGATGGGTATTTTATGGTTCTAATAGTAATGTTCGACGTTAAAGCAAGCATTATTTATTTCTGAAGTAAAGATACTTGTGTTTTTATGTTGCTTCTCTGAGTATTTTAATTCTGATCCTGCCTGTTTAAAGTTCTTCGTTAGTAGGGATATCGTATGTATGCCATATTATCTTATTCTGCTTTATCTTGTAGGTTTTAGATACATCATCTCAATTATTTCTGTTATTGTGCTTAGTTTTAAAACGTTTTATAAAACTAAACTTCGGGTTGCATGGTGACAAGAATAGGGTTTTTCAAGAATATCAAACTTATTGTAATTAAGATAACTGTCAGTGTCGATGTAATATTTGATTAACTTAGAATAGCCCTTTTTGCTTGGAATTGATTATGAGCATGAAGATTTGTGCTGTTTAAAAGGTCTTTAATGGATGCCGTCGGGCATTTTTGCATGATTCCCATTATACTAACAAACGTCAATATTTGTACATTGCTAAATATGTGTTCTGGTGATCATTTATTGCTATGTTCAAATCTGTCAAAATACTGCTCTACATTAAATCATAATTCTGCCAGGATCGAGAGATAAATCTGACTCCCCATCTTTATTCTACAATACAATTAGTTAAAGTTGGACTAAAGCTTAAATAAAAAGAAAAATAACATTGCATTTATTATTAGTGGAGGACTTCTACTGCAATTTATATGATTTTTTGTGGCATGCACTCCATGATTCCAATTGGAACAACTTATGGAATTTTTTTTACTTTTTGGTGGTGTTACTGGTTTATTTCAGTAAGTCACGAACACCCATTGACCCATTGAATTGAGAATCTACATTACTCGTAAATTGAAATTAAATTTCGAGATTCTAAAAACCCTCATTTGAATGCTATATAGTATATAAAATATACTTATATCATCTAAAATAAAAAAGCCGCACATTTCGACCTTGTTAGTTTTGTTTAAATTTCAAACTAAAATTATATAGTTCAGCTTAAACTGGAATTGAAACGAATATGGAACCACATGTGGAAGTAAACTAACACTACATGGTTTTTAAATATATTTTTTAATTAGTGCTATAAAAATATTGGATTGATTATATAGTGTGTTGAAAGAGATATTGGTGCTATATAGCAATGTCAATCTGTTTATATGTCAATCTGTTTGCATGACAGTCTTTCCGTCTGTTAGTCAACTTCTACGCCAAGTTTTCTGATTTTTGGCGAAATAATATTTTTACTTCATAAAAATTTCAGGAAATATTTATAATTGGTTGATGTTCCAGAAGTGAATATGTAGCAACTATAGTTAAAAAAAAAAAAAAAAAACTATACGTAGGAATTCAATGTAATACACTTTCATACGACATAAAACATTCACAACTTATATTATATTAAAAAAATGTGATTTTTCAGTGGAAATTCATATAAATTTATGTAAATACACAACTGAACAATATGAGAATTATTAATTTCTTAATGTAAAATTTTGACACAATTTGTTGTGTCTCTAAGCACATCATATTGTATTAGTCATCTCTTTTTAGGTACCCATTACTTTGTCAGCTTCTATACCAATTTCTCTGACTCTCAACAGGGTTATAACTTTTTATCAATTCTTATGAAATGTTATATGACACTTTTTGATGTATTCAGGTTGAAGAAATCCATAAAAGAATACAATTCTTTGATGCTCCAAAATTGTAATATTTGAACAAAACTTAAAGCATGGAAAATTACTTAAAGAATCTATAAACAACAACACAAAAACAGAAATAATTTGGACTTATTTATGATTTATGAGAATCATAAATTTCCTAATATAACACTTTGTTGTAGTTTGTTACATCTGTTTGTAAACATCTGATATTGTAACAGATGTCGAAGGAATTATAGTCATCTAGTTTTAGAAATCCAATTCGTATTATTATTTAATATTTCCCAAGAAATTGAATTGCACATTTATTTTAGGAATTCAAGTTGAAGAAGTTTACAAAATAATATAATTTGACTAACACACAGTACATCGAAATATTTAATTACTTATAATTAACAGTACATATATTAAAATAATCAATTTTATGCTTAAGTAACTTGAACTTATTTATAGAAATATATAACTCAACAATATGAGAATTGTAATTTTTTATATGGCATATAAAATTGAACTGGTTAAATATTGTTGTGTGTGTATTTAAACATATTGCAGTGAAGAGTTAATTTCATGACTATCTCAGTCATGACTATCTCATCAATTAAACTTAGAACATCAATACTGTTAGATACAGTACCATTATTATTAACTATAGTATGTATTATTCTTTAAATGAAGGGAGAATATTATATGGTATAGAATATAATATACCATTTTGTTTTAAATTATCCTCAGTTTGAATGTTGTTCTATAGTCATAGTGAATTTATGGGATAGTTATTTGTCATGAGATTCTCAGAATATCTGCAAATTATATGTATTTATTTTGATTAATAAAAATTTGATTTCGAAACATCAAATCAAAACAAGAAAGGTAATTTCTACACAAATTCTAATTCATGTTTAAGGTCTCTTCGTATGCTTTAAGCCTTACCGTAAACATGGAATGCATATAAATAAGTTATCAGATCATCTTTGCTGATTGGCTGTTTCGTTGTTATTCAGATAGCTTCGTTGTTACTCAGATTCATCACTTTTGGAAACACCACTCTTAGGAAGATATTTAAAATTCTCTGGTATGTCAAAAACTCTAGTATTCATAGAAGTCTTTTCGTTAAGACCTTCATCAAGTACTTAAGTGTAATATCATCCCCTCTTTTTCGCAAAATAAATTGTAAGTCTAAGAGGTCAAAGAAATATATTTAAAGTACTTGGTTATTTCAGTAACTCCGATATTCATAGAAGTCTCTCCATTGAAGCCGTGTTCAAGTACTTAAAGATAGCACCCATTCATTCTATTCCGTAAAGTAGATGGTCATTTCAACAGCCACAAGAAAATATTCAAAACTCTTGGTTATGTTAGAAACTCAGTTATTCAAGGAGGTTTTTCTATTGAGACCATCTTCAAGTATTTAAATGTAGCATCCAACCCTTATATTCTGTAAAGTAGATGGTAAATCCAACAGTCACAAGAAAGATGTTAAAAATTCTCGGTTATGTCAGAAGCTCCGATATTCATTGAAGTCTTTTCATTGAGACTACGTTCAAGTACTTAAAGATAGCATTCATCGCTTCTATTCAGCAAAGTAAATAGTAATTACGTCAGCCAGAAGGAAGATATTCAAATTTCTTGCTTATGTCCGAAACTCCAATATTCATAGAGATCTCTCGATTGGGAGCATTTTCAAATATTTAAAACTAGTATCCATCACTTTTATTCAGTTAAGTAGCTGGTCATTCCAAGGAAGGAAGATTTTCCTATATTTTTATAATAAAAATTATGTTGATTACTGGATTTTCCCAGCGTGGGTCAAATAAGTCACATACAGAGAAAGGAGTAAAGGTGCTAACATCTATCAGTTAATATTTTTCAATAATGGTTGTACAGTTATATATACAATTTATATTATTATTTATTGTTATAGAAGTAACAATTTAAGAATCTTAATAAGCAAACCGCAGAAGTAATTACTCTCATTTGCCGCAATCACAAAAGTACGAAAATCTGAAAAAATAGAATTAAAATAAAAATTAAGGATTTATTTCCTTTGTGGGCGTTTTTGTTTGCTTCCTGGCAATTACTTGAGACTGATACGTTTGTATACTTATTTTCAATAAAAATAAGAAAGAAAATAAGTACTCTTTGGTATTGAAGAAAACAACAAAAACACGCCTATGAGCTGCTAATGATCGAATTGGTGCTGCGGAAGAAAGAAAACGGCCCAGGTATTGTATCAAATTCAAAGGACACATGCGGTGATAAGGATCTTGTTTCCTTTAATATATTCGAAATAATGTATTGTGTGGAATATAAAGTATCTGAGGATAAGTAGTGTGTAGTGTGTTCCAAAATGAGTTTTGGTTT